CAAGTCGTACTGGAATTGGTGACTTGTAAACTTGTAGAGGAGTCATTTTTGCTCTAAGGTAACAGTACTTTTACTCAAGTATGGTTTTCAGGTACTCTTTACACCTCTGGATATGAACGACAAACGTGTACGCAGGAAAAAAGCACATGGATTCGATATTCTCAGATCTGTTTCAGGCCTCATTCATATGAGGAAATAAATCTGATATGAATCAGTTACATGCATTTATATCTGTTAATCGTTTTACGTCATTGAAAAAGAGATGGCAAATGACGTCAACTCAGGTGGACACCAACACATGACTTTTTAAAACTTTTTTTTTCACATTTGGTAATTCAAAGTGCTTTACATAGAAGAAATTAAAATAATCAAAATAAATAAGACTAATTAAAACTAATTAAAAAAATTAAAACTTTAAAGACGGTGCTGTTTGCCGTCCATTGCAAATAAGTGCAGTTTTTACTTCTTTTTCGGCCTAAGCTTTTCGGGTCAGTACGTCTACCTTTGTTTGTTTTGCTATATATACCGTAAATGCAGATATTGGATAGGGGTCACTTTTAAAAGATGCAAGCTGGTAAAAAATAATAATAATCTGAATCAACAAATAGGAATTGGGCATCTAGACAGTGTAAATGCGGCCTTAATTATTATTATTTTTTTATTATCTAAATGTCTTTTCTCGTGTATATCCAGTGTTTTATCAGTTTGCATGTGTAGAAAGTGTGTGTCTGAATAAGCTAAACTTATTCTTCTTCCCATCATACCCAAGTTGACGTATCCTGCGCAACATTGGACTTGACTCTCTCAACCTCTACGTAAAGAAGCCAGAGAACTTGTGGGTGGATTTCGGCTTGGATTACGGTGCCACTCCCCAGCGCTTTGCATTCGAATGCCATGCTGAGACTGAGCGGATTGGGCTGAAATGTAGCTGGTCGTCTTTGCTCTGCGTGAGTGATGAGCAGTAGAATAGACAGGCTGTCACAGCACACCTGTAGGCCTGGCAGCCGAGTCCATCACCGGGCTGAGCCTTCACAGAGATTAAAAACACTGCATCCATTAGGCCCCATGTCAGCCGTCATTATTCTATAAAGAAGCGATTTTGTCACATCTCCATTCTTCAGGCCGCTATCCACACGCAGATGAATAAGCAGGACGTTCCATCTCCAAACACGGCTCACTTTTGACAGGAACACAACCATTTGTGATGCCGTCTCCCCAGCACTTCACACATCCATTGGGAAGGAAGCATCAAATAAGTCTTAATGCAATGATCCCGCAGTCCATCACCTGATGGGACTCAAAGTTTTCCAGCCATATTTATTCTCGGAAATGTACGTTTTGTCCTAGAGCTGCCAATCAAACGGGCTCACAATTTATTCTGCCGTGTGCATTTATCTGACAGCCCTTTGTTTTCTACAGTGTTCAACTGTGATTCAATTTTACACATTCTGCCTTGTAGTTTGACAGCTGTCGTTTGACAGGAACACAGGCCTCATTGCGGACAGCTTAAGAATAACAAATTCAGTCTGGAAATATTCAGCGCAAAGGGTGTCAAATGAGTTTTTAAAGGCTTAAAACATTTAAAATTGATGGATGAACACTTTAAGGTGTCACTGTTGGTGCATTTCGAACTGCATGTATGTATTTGACTCAAGGAAGCCAGGCTTTGGGGTGAAGGTGAACACAATAATGAAAATTATGTCATCATTTATTCGCCCTCATGTCGTATGTTTCAAGTTTCGTCCGTAGAAGTCAAAAGAAGCCATTCAGCAGAAAGTAGGGCTGGCTAATAAATATCGATTTCTCGATATTAATTGATTCTCATTTTTACGAACCAATATCGATTCTTAAATCTCAAGAATCGATTATTCATCCTGTTTCATTTTTGAATGGAACATTGTATCGCATCCAAAAATCGCAATAATCTTTGTCCTTTGTTACTATTGATATGAAACAAAGTCTCAAATATCAAATTACATCCATTTTCTTTAGAAATTCTTTAGAAAAGATAAATAACGTTTTGGCACTATGGCGTGAGATCGCTCTGACGCAGTTCAGAGAAGCAGCAGCGCTGATCTCTCTTCCGGCTTAAAAATACCAGTTACAGTGCGAAATAAACATGAATGAGCATCTGAAAGTGTGTTAAAAGATAGAGTAGAACTTATCGAAATCCGTATCATGTCACATTGATTCGCTCAATCAGCGTTTCAACCGTGGAAAGACGTCAGTTAAACAGCTTGTAATCAATGTCATGTTGTCATATTCACCTCAGAAAACCCACATAAACTCAGCTAGTCAGCTAGAAAAATAATAACTCCAGAGAGGAGCATTTTGCTAAATACATACACCATATTACATATGCATTATAATCTTAAAGTTCTTCAATATTTAATGCATATATTTGAATAAATCTGGCAAGTTTTTATGACAGCAACGATTTAAATGTTTATATTTCATATAATCTTCTTATTATAAAATAAATAAAAGTATAATTTAAGTGTTTGTATAGCTACAAAACAGTTAATTATTACCTTCATATTAGGATTTTCTCACATATTTCCTTGAGAAAATTTGCCATTTATTGTAATGATATCCAAAATAATCAATATTGAATTGAATCGAATCGGAATCGAAATCGGATTGAATTGCAAGCTTGTGAATCGAAATCGAATCGAATTGTGAAATTTGTGTCCATACCCAGCCCTTAGCAGAAAGGGTTTTAAAATGAATGGTGACAGTGACCAAAAATTACAAAAAGCACCAGTGGGAACATTCTGCTAAACATCTCCTTTTTTGTTCTAGAGAGACTTGGAATGGGATTTGAAATGACATGGTGAGTGAATGATGCCTTATTTTATCTTTTTTTTTTTGTAAGATACCAATGAATGTTTTTGGCCAAACAAACTGTCCATTTGGATGAATGTTGGCTTGGTTGAAAGTTTTCTTTTTCCATTATAGATTCAAAAATACTGTCATTCACAGACCACAATGTGTCATTTTCCAGATTTCATTATTTTCAATCTTATTCATTTCAGGAAAAAGTGTGCAATTTTGATAGGGAACGTTTAAATTACCTTGATGTCTCGCCACTTTGCCTTTTGAAAACGAAAAATTGTAACCAGTTAAAATTCATCATAGTCCCACGATCGATGAATTCTTTTGTGTGGCATCATTTTTATGCTTCACCGTCTTGTCTGTGAGAAAGAAACAGACTGAGATTATTTATTTCCTGTTTGTTTGAAGTGAAATAACAAAACATGAGACAAGGTTAAGCTGATGAATTCAGTGATGAGTTGCATCAGTGATGACACTGATGTTTGACGTGTGCAAAGATGTTCAAAATTCTGCTCTCCTTCATCCTGTTTTGATATGCTACATTGTAGTATTCTAGGCTGGTGACAGTGTAAATGAAAGTGGAGATCTGTTTGGCATCTAAAAACATAATTGTTTGATTATTAAATCATTTTTGTTTCAATAATCACGTTTGTCTATGGACTCAAGAATTTAATTCTAAATGAATTCTGTCACAAACAGAAATGCACTGCTATCATGATTCATAGACATGATTCAAACAGGTAAAACGTGAATTTTTTTTTTGCCACTTCTTGCACACAAAGTTGCAGGGCAATCAAAACCTTATATCTTCAACATTTTCTCACCTTTGTGTTTGCACTTTCATTCAACTGAAGCTTTAAGACACGAATGTACGCTGTGAAACCTTTTGTTTCTCGTAACGTGAAATCTGAGACCTGGCACAACCCCTTTATCTTCATGTGCGTCAGGGACCTGTGGAAGGAAATGGAGGGCTTAACATTTATAATACACTTAAATCTGCTCCATACTCAAAAGGTTTGATTTCAATAACAATAATGCTTTCAGACTATTATACTGAGGATATTTCAGATGTGGAAAAAGTCATGCCAAAACCATGTTTTGAATAAATTAATAGTTTTAAATCTACTCCAGAACATACTCAATGGCTAAACCTGCTTCCTTAATGTGTAAAAATAATCCTCTGGATGACAAATTTGACTATTTGTACAATAGAATACTCTTGGATTTATATGGCTTAATATTTCTGATAGTTTGCACAGATATGCTGCATTCCGAATAAAAATGAAAACGAATTACAGTAATTGAGGAAAGCAAAACTAGCAGATGGAGGCTCAGAATATTCAGTATGGGACTACTGGGAAATCAAAACATGCCAATTTGAGTGAGAGGATACTCTCAAATAGGGCAACTAACAAGGGGTTTGATACCGCAACTCCCCAAAGCGGCTTCAAATGGAGATTGAGATTATTGTGCAAACACTGCATATTTCAGTCCTTTCCCCTTCTTGTTTCGTTTCCCCTCAAGCCCCCTGTGTCCACACGTATAATCACTCAGTAATTGAGCTGAAAAGAGTAAATCTTTGATTCCCACTAGAAATTGGGCATTTATTTCTAAGTCTGAAAACCCCATGAAATGCTTGGAGAGTGCTTGTGTGAACGGGAAAAAAAATGCAAATCTGCTTAAACTGTGTCTATCTGCCGATGTTTCACTCCGCTCTGCAGGTACTCACAATGTCGCAGTTGTCATGATTGCTGTAATTTACATAGAATACGTACAGGGACTGCACTAAGATCCTCTGGGGGGAAAAAAAAAGAGAGGAAGAGCTGGATCAATGCTACAGAATCGGTCCTGAGAAGCCAGATATACAGGCTTTATGGGAAAAGCGTTAAATCCACAAGTTCTTTGCCCATTTTGGCTCCAGTGAGAGTTTCCTGTTTACTGGCAGGTTTTGTGTCTGGAAACATCTCTCATTTACATACAGCACAGAAAAGGTGCTGCATTCAAAGAACAACAAAAGCAAACATGGACAATGAACTTCAGAATATTTCAACTCTGAAGAAAGCAACAACAACAAAAAGAAAAGTCCACAAAGTGGACTTCATTTCAAGTTAATTGCTGATTGTAGGAAGGAGAAAAACACACGAATGACCAAATGGAGAACAACATTAATCAAGAAATGCTTCAGTTTTTATTTTACAATTAAGGGACAAAAACATTTTTTTTCTTTTTTAATTAAGGGAGTTGATGGGACTTTTCACAATGGCATGATAAAACATTGAAATGTACTGCATTTCATGTTTTGCATTGCTTGGTTCCCCCTTATACACCATGCATCAACAGCGATGCAACTCCTTCAGTCAATTCATATTTACCACATCAGAGAACTTAGTTCAACTAAAGGATGAATCGTGGTTCTACAGCACATATACTGCATATACATCTCTGTACATATTATTTCCTTTTTGTTTACTATATATAAAATGACAATATAAAAGAATGCACACCATACAAACAATGTTGAGCTGCGGCAATTGGCAAGATATGATGATGGAAATTTACACATCTTGGCTGATCATTTAAATATATGTGCTGTATATAAGATTTCAATTAAGTCTTTACAGGTTGAAACCAAAGCGAAACCATAGAAAGAGAAATAGTGGTACCAAAGCATACGTTTCAAATCGCTACTGTATAAAATGATACTTAACAAAAAAAAAAAAAAGATTAAAAACAAAGAAATGCCTTTGAAAAACCAAAGTTTATAATCATAGGCAGTCTGTCAAAATCTTCAATATCCTTCAAGGTTTAGAAGACTCAACAAAATCTACAATTCATTTTTTTCACTTCAAAGGGTTGCAGTTTGATTTATGTCAAGCCAATATCTGAAAATCGGAGCTTAAATTAACAAAATAGCTCTTTCTCATTTTATACATATTCTCATAACATTCAACACCACAGAGTGCTTTAATGAAGTCAGTCTTTTTTGATGTATAGTAAGTGTACAACGCAACTCATTCTATTCAGAAGTTCTTTTGCCATTTTGTTTTAGACCATGCCCATGGATACCATGTTTGTTTCATTCCCAATTCAACAGAGTACAAATTGTAAATTCTGTTTGAATATGAAGTCACTCAGAGAGAAAATAACGTAAAAAAAACATGCACATAACCGACACGTATCAGATAAATACAGTACAAAGCAAGAGATAGAAATCAAGAGACTGACAAACGAGGGGAAAAGAAAACAAAAAACAAAATAGATCATGGTCCAATCAGGCAGTTTCACGACAGAATTTGGACTGATTTTGAAGGCTCAGTTCAGGCGCAGTGCAGTACAGTGATGTAGTGCAATGATTCTCAATCCAGTCACTTCACTGCCACCAGCCTGCTTTCCTTAGGCTTTTTCTAACTTTTCCAGCTCAGTAACAAAGATCAGATGGTCCTCCGGTGACTTTCCGTGCGTTTTGCTGAGGTGCAGTTTCACTGCGTGCTTGCTGACAAAAGTCCTATTGCACAGTTTGCACTGAAATATGGAATTAGAGTCCTCCTCAGTTAAGCCAAGGGCACTGAATGTCTTGTCTGTGATCATTTTTGTGACTGCTTGCTGGTCTCTTATGAGTTCTATTGATAATTTTGAGAGGTCTTTCAAGCTAAAGCCCAAGTGGGACTCTAAGTGGTTAATGTATGCGGAGGGAGTTCTGAACTGGGAGGCACAGTCACTACACAGGAACAGTGGCTGGCCCGAGTCTATGTTCTTCAGAAACTTGGTTCCACCTGTCCGCCTGAGTTGGTACTTGACGTTTGCCAACCAGTGGGAGATGGTGGTCATGGAGAGACCTGTAAACTTACAAATATGTACACGCTCCTGAGGACCTAGGTCTGTAATGATGTATTTTCCATCAGGGGTTTCTCGGAGGCTGGACGCAAACTGAGCCTGAAGAATCAACAGATGTTGCGGGTTCCAGTTTGATTGCCTGCCTTTTCTCTTCTGAATGGGTGAAAGGTCCTCCAGCCCATCCTCGAAAGCACAGCCATCTGCATCGGACTTTTCGGATATAGAGGAAGGGGTTGACGACTTTGGCGTCAGGCGACCCGTGAGGTTCTTCACCATGTCAGAGATGTCCATTAGAGCATTCTCCCGGAGAGGAGATGAGACTGATTCAGTCAGCGTTGACAAGATGGGTCGGGTGCTGTTTGTGATGCTGCTGTTGCTGAGAACAGTGGATGAACAAATGTTTGTGGTCCCATTGCCACTTTTGGACTTCGTCAAGTCCATGGGTTGATCATCATTATTGTCATAATATCTGTTGATGGACTCGACTTGCTTGACCTGAGCTGGATTGTACATGGGCTTTTCCATCATGTTGTTGCTGATCTTGTACAGCATTGCTAGTGGGTCCAGGAGTGGACTGACTGTTTTGGAGGCCTTACCCAAATGAGTGTTCATGATAGACTGCAATGCACTGAGAGGGTTGACTAAAGGCTGTTCTGGTGAATGGTCAGTGATGATTCCTAAATTATCGCAACCATTGCTGACTTGTGTTTTGAGGGCATCCGTTCCGTTCTTTACAAGATTATCTGCATGGCTCTCCTTGTATTCTCCTTCCCGAACCAGAACGTGGTCTAGGTCTTTATCTATCATTCCATTCTTTGTTGGCTTGCTAATGTCACCTGATCTTGGCAAGTCCTTTCGGTCTTTGAGGACCGGAGAGGGCAATTCAGCAGGGAGATGTTTGGAAACACGTTCAATTGATTTTTCATCACGGTCCTTTTTTGAAGGGATTTTTCCTGTTACTTTCTCCACTAACTCTTCCATTGCTAGGACATTGCTTTTATGGTTTGGAGGTGGTGATGGGCTGCTTGGAGAATGGATTAGAGTGCTGGAGTCAGAGGTCAAAGATTTCAAGCTGCTGGCGTTGAATGTTGGTTGAATCTGGACACTCTGGACAGCGGGTATAGATGATTTCAAAGACCCTTGGAGCTGGTAAGCGGCATGAATGCTGGGATATCCACCCCAAGTGGGCGTACCGGTCTGAGCCTTACTGATTGCACTGGAGACTGTATTTTCTAATGACTTGAGAATATCTAGTCCACCTTTGGGAGACTCTTCAAGATCCTCTTCTCTTAGATATTTGTAATGGCTGTTTTTTTCAGTTTTTTCCACCTTCTCAACAGGATCCTCTTTCTCTTGCTTGATTTTTTTCTCCTCAGGTTCCTCCCATTTGTCCTCTTCCAGCTCCTTTCTTTCATCCATGGTGGATGGGTGTATTGGTGAATCAGGTTGAGACTTGATAGTGGGAGCTGGTAGACGTGTTGTTGTGGGTGGAAGAGGAATGGATTGGATTTTCTCTTCCACCACAGGGTCAAACACCAATTGTTTGCCTTTTTTAGAGGCAGAGTTTGTGACTTTGAGAAAATGTCCGGTCACCATCATATGGGCTGTCAACTGTTGCAAGGTGTCATGGGAACTCCCGCACTCCATACACTTTAGAATTTGAGCTTTTCGGGCCTCAAACTGCCAGGTATAACTTGCACCATTTTGGTAGCCATAGCGGTTATTAGCTGTGACATATGGGTTGGAAATCTTCTGATCTTTGGTGGGCGCAGTCTCTGCCAATGGAATGCCAGGGGTGCTGGAGATTGACTCAGGTGAGCAAGGAGACAACAGGTCTTGGAACGCCCTCTTTTTGGTGGAGTGGACCAGCTTTGAGGCAAGAGCTGGCATTGGTTCTTTGAGAGGCACTTTCTGGTAATGTTTAGTTTTGATCATGTGGACACTCAAGTCCTGTAGGGATTCAAACGAGTGGCCACAATACATGCATTTCAGAACTTTCTGAGCATCTTCTTTGCCCTCCATCTCCATTAAGGATCGCTTCCGTGGCTTGGACCATTTCTTGCCCCTGTCCTCCTCTTTGTCCTTGTTATCATCACGGTAATGGCCTGTTTCGTTCATGTGCACTGTGAGACCTACAAGCGTGTCGTAGGCTGCACTACAGTCCTTGCATCTGAACTTGCTGGCACCCGTAAACACAGGCCCATACAGCTTATTGTTTTGCCGGTACAGCTGCACTGTGCTGAAGAGACTTGGTTCAGGCATGAGGTGGTAGGGTGTATGCTGTAAGGTTTTAGCAAGTGCTGCTTGATGCCAGTCATATGCAACACCCCCACTGTTAGCACCATTGATGTTTCCATTGTTGGCATTGTTTAATGTGGTGGCTTTTGTAGAATTGTTGCTTGGCGTCACATTTGTCTTTGTGCTAGCACTAGCATTGCTGCTGCTGCTAGCTCCGCTGCTTGTAATATTACTTGCATGGCTGTTCACAATGCTATTGTTCCCCTTGTGGCTGCTTGGAGTACTGTTAGTGCTACTAGCACTAACCTGCTTGCTTTTCATAATGTCCTTTGTAATACTCGACCAGGAAGCATCTGAAATCAGGTTTGCATAGACGGCTTTCATCTGCGCCAGGCTGTCCTGCAATGATAGTCCGGCATCTGTCTCCAAGTCTTCAACCTCCTCTTTATCCTGGCCCTCTTTGGAGGAGGTGCTTTTGAAGTCAGCCAGGTGATCGCTGGTGTCGCTGAGGGGCGAGGCGTACCCGGCATCTGGGTTGGTGCCATTACTGAGGGGAGAATTCTGGTAGCTTAGCGGTTCACGCCCATCATCTTCTTCATTGCACAGGTACTCTGCGTCCTGACCGTCTAAGGAGAGCCCGTCGTCCTGCAGGTGCTCCTCATCGATCTTAGCTGCCTTAAGCTCGTCTTCCGGCACATAGGCTGAGAAAACAAAACAAGAGGGGGTGGGGGGAAGAGATGATGAGTCAAAAGCTCACAAAATGTGCATCTTTAACATGGATTGTTGAACAAGTAAATTCACTTTTACATTTTTGTTTCTTCAAATGAATTGGGTGAAGGAAAATGTATCATTGCATGTGCGCGTGTGTCTGTATGCCTACATGATGATCCTAAAGAGATTTTTTTGTCAATAGTCCTGGCAGAGGACGCTGGTTTGCAATTATAAAGTGGCAAACATCCATATCTTGACTATGATAGATAGCCCCCTTCACTGCTGAGACTAACAAAGCTATCCTGTGTAACAGCTCAGCAAGGGTAAAGAGGGCAGAGGAGAGTCCTCTAAAGAAAAAATTAGGTATCTAGAAAAATGTATCTAGAAAAAAAAAAACAGAAAAGAAACCTGGTAATATCATGGATTTAAAAAATGTATAGTATTACGAATATTGTAATGAAAGCAAAATATATTATTTCAAAATGTAAAAAAGACGCATCCATTTACAACCAATACTACAAAATGACCCTGGTTTACAAATATTTTATTCTTAAATATTAACCCCATATAGACTACTCTCTCTTGCTCTTTCTTGTCCTCCTTTCCCCTGTAGTTAGAGGGCACAGACTGTGTGTGACATTGATCCAGTTCTCTAATGCACTAGCCAAGCTAGACTCCTCTGAGTGTGAGATTGCGTCTAAGTTATTGCCAGGGATGCAGCGCGGGGTGCAGCTTGCCTCAATGCTGTTGGCAGAGGCGATGGAAGTTCTCGCAGCGAGTCATGCTAAAATGCAAGTGGAAATGGCATGTCATGTTGTCATGGTCCATGCTGTACTAACTCTCAGGGAGTCAAGAGTGTATGCAGCCACAGGGGAAAAAGAGAGAGTGAAATAAAAGACAAGAGGATACATGACCATCTTTAATGCACCTTCCTTCTAGTGATAAATATATTACATTTCAGGAATATTCTAGCATTGACTAATAACCAAATCTGCTTGGGTGATTAGCAGGATTTGTTTTTGTGTTAGTTTCAAATTTGTCAAGATTTTTTGTTTGCAAATGTTAAATATTAAAAGTGTTTAATTAGAACAATTAGAGACCAATTTATGTTGTAGGTAATGAAGCAAAAAAATAATGCCTAAATAACTGCTTGAAAACGTGCATTTAAGAGATTTAAGAGGCCTAGTTCATTCAAAAATTCTTTAAAAGTATCTATGTTGCTCCAAATCTTTATGACTTTGTTGCAGAACACCAAATTTGATTTAGAAAAAAAAAGCAATGAAAGTCAAAGTGGTCCAGCTTTGTTTTGGAACCCCTTAGCTTTCATTATTTGGACAACAATATTTTCTTTTGCTTGTAAGTCACATGTTAGAAACAACATGATGTAGAATAAATCATGAAAGATTTGTAATTTTTGGGTGAACTATCATTTTAGGAAAAGTAAATAGTGTCATTTTGGATGTAATGTTTATATGTTTATTTGTACTTTATTGGCCACCCTGGACTCTAAACATTGGCATCGATGTTTTCCTCTCTTGTCGATATTTTGACCAAAAGGGATTGATAAGAACCAGTTAATGCATTGATTTTTAGTGAAAACAGCATCGAGCCACGAGTGCATGTTTCAGAAATACACATTCATGGTTATTTGTGAAAACACAGCTATTTTTGCTCTGCGTATTACTGCTAAGTGCACATTTATTTCTAAAGGTAAAAAGAGGATACTGAAAATTGTTGCCTACGCCACACACTAGAAAATGCTTATTTTCCTCAGCTAAATGTGTGGTAATAAGATGTACTGTCAGATGTATTACATTAGGGGAAAGGAACAGAACAATAATGTTCACAAATGTAAGGTTTCATGTTTCAGCCACAAAAAGCTCCTTCACTCTATTGTGTGCCGACAGAGCTATGACAGAAAAAAACGGAGTGATAGCCCACTGTCGGCACCCACAGCTGCAAGACAAAAAGAGCGAGAGAGGGAGAGAGAGAATGCTACTCATTTAATTCGCTTAATGAAAAGAGAATAAAGGTCCATGAGACCAAGTGCTTAATGAGGAGCGGTAGGATAAAATTCCTGTTTCATCAGCTGTTTCGATCTGCGGTGGGAGATAAACAAAATGAGCTCTCCGTCATCGAAACACATCAAAGTACCTCTTTCGAGCGTGCTTTTTGTGTGTGTGTGTGTGTGTGCGTGCAAGCATCTTCACAGCATGTCCAGCTTAAAAAAAAAGACTCCTGTTCACTTTGTGAGTGGTATTCTTACTATCAGCCATTTTGAACACAACACGAGAAGAAAAGCCACAACAACAGCCCGCACAACTGTGAAGGCAATGGGAAGAGACAGGGCAGGAAAAGAGGGGAGCAGTAGAGGAGATGGGAGTAAAGAGAAGAAAAAGAGACAGGCAGCGCTTGAAGAGTTGTTCCTTTATCTCAGCGAGCCACCAGGAGATGTCTGTCCGAGATGCCAAGATCCGTCTCGGTGGTTGAAGCAGATGCGCTGTCAGCTTCAAACGGCGTGCAGCTGAGCACACGTAATCAGAACGGACTCCGTACCTGATGTTTGTAAGGTGCCATTTACAGCTGTGTGGAGGAAGCTGTAGGGGCGTGAACAGCTGGGAACGTGGTGTATGTGGTGTTCCGTTACTGGGAAATTCTTAAACGACGCCTTCTAATCCAGAGGAATCACTGATTCCACCTCAAGCTCTCCGACGGATTTCAATCCGTCAATTCCTCGGAGAAATCCAGTAGGCGGCGTAAAGCGAAAGGGATTTGGTGAAATAAACATTACGAACTGTCAAATAAATCACTTATCCAAATATCGCTTAAAAAAGAAATGTTCACGCCGCAACACGGTTCAGTGGATTGAAGCCCTGATAATTCCCTCAAGTCACTGCAGCATTTAAGACAGCTTATCACATTAAAACAAAGAGAGAAGTTTTTCATCTTTGCTGTAATTACAGAGAGAGTGATCGAGGGGCAGAGAGAGAGAGAAAGAGAGAAAAGTGAGACGGGGGGCGAAGAAGAAAGCCAGAACGAGAGGGCTTTTTTCGCAAAGAGATGGGCAGAACCTGACACTAAATCGAGCGCGTCTTCTCAGCCCCTGACACCGCGTGGCATCTGACAGGCATGCGCGTTGGCATGTCACTGTCCTTGCATCAAGCCGTCAAACACGACTTGGCAATTTTTTGCCATCTGCGTCAAAAAAAAAAAGGAACCCGCCAGACGACGGCAACGACAGCTCACACTTAATAACCCAATCAGAAGTTTGACTGCTGACATCTCTTATCGGGGGCCTGCTTTTAAACATCACGCCGAACAATAAGAGAGGGATTAAGAGGAGAGGAGGGGGGGGGAGGGGCTTGTTGTGTTTGTCAGTCAAAAATAAGCCTGCATTGTACTGTCGGGAGAAAACGACACATATAAGTTGTTAGGAATACACACAATTAAGCGAATCAATAGTTTCTATAAAAAGAAGATGCTTTTGATGCGGAGGAGAAAGAGTTTGATTTACTGAGTGAAGAAGGCACTTTCCACGGATACCATACAAAACAAGGCTTGAAACTCTTGCCATTTTGTTTTCTATGAGGTTTCAAATCTTATACACATGCATGCACTTACATACATGTATATAAAAACACACACAATTCATTTACTTATTTTGATATAAATTATAAATGTACGTGTCTATTTACACACACATCTACACGCACACATACATATTCCTTACACACACAGTCTATTGAATACAATAAAAAAAACAAAAAAAAAAACGTAAGTTGACACCAGCTATGTTTTAGCAAATCATTTAAACTATGACAAGAATGATTCCATCTAATTAATATTCATGTAGAATGTGCACCCTTCCCATCCCAAACAGTTTTAAGATCAGTCTTACACCCACCCATGTGCTTGCGTGTGTTCTTTCAAACACAACACACCAAAATGGAGTCTCAAAAACAAAGGTGTGTATGTTCATGAGTGCCCACCAACATCTAAAACGATCAGCCAGAGCACCAGGGCCTTGTGCTTGTGTGCATGTATGAGGTGTGCGATATGTGAGGTGTGTGTGTGTGTATGTGTGTTGTGCAGGAGAGCGTGGCCATCTGTGTCCAGAGTGGAGCTGTCACTGTGGCTGCTGAGATCTCACTGATTTTAGACAGGTGACACAGCAACGGGACATGAGCAGGGCATACACACACACGCACACGAGCAGAGCTCACCGTCTGAGCCAACAAAGATCAGCCGCAGAGTGAACCTTCTTGCTATAGACACCCATGACACCACACATACAAACACAGCCAGTGCCAGCTCTTAGAAACACCACCCACATACGAGCACTCGAGCGTTAAGATTCACGTACAGTTTCCCAACAAACAGCAGAGAATTAGCAAGCCGTGACTCTAGACAAGATTGAATGGTTTCTACAAGCGAAACTCTGAAAATGTACATTACACCTCTATTTATTACAACAGGAAGTGAGACAGACTAGATTCGAACCCAAATTTCCCAGATGCACCCCAGAGCACAATGCAAACCACTAAAATAGAACTGACCCCCACACTGAGCCTCTTTTGAACCGAATTGAGCTGGATGATCAAACTTTTGCAAAGCTGCTTCATAGCTGAGTCAACTTGGCTTCGTTCGTGTTTGACGAATTTTGCAACATACATGGTTATTGAATCGAATCGACACTGAACTCACTATCAACTCCTGTTCAGCTGATTATAGTTCAATTGATCTTTTTTCATAATTGATGGACTTTACAGTTATTGAACTGAACTGATTTGAGCTGAAAAAATGCTTTTATTCTTTTTAGAGCTGCTTTACAGCAAATGTCTTATATTTGATGACTTTTGCATTTTGCATGAAGTATTTTCCTGTTTATTACTGTAATGGCTGCTTTTACAATCTCTATAAAGTACTTATGTTGCCTAAAACATTGGCTATGGAGGCAGCTTGCAACATTTTGGAACAGAGTGATTTTGGC